CCAGATTCAGATGATGAAGGATTTTGCAAAGCCCCTGGGAGACCCCAGAGAAGAAGGAGGTGCCCAGTCGCCTAATAAGGGCTCCCCAAGAGGAGCCTGAGCTGAGGACTGCAACTCTTGAATCACCTACTGTCATTCCCAGATCCATTGGCCCAAATCTGTGTACCCATTTGTACTATGAGTTCTGTAGTGTTTTTCTTTCAATCAGCTCATTTTTAAAAACGTAGGGAAATTTATTTAAAATGGAAAATTTAAATCACTCACTTAAAATGGAAAGCCATCATTTTCCATAAAGAGGAAATGGCTATAAAATTGAATACAAGGGGGCGCCCGGGTGGCTCAGTCGGTTGATTGACTCTTGATTTTGGCTCAGACTCTTGATTTCAGCTCAGATCATGATCTCGGAGGCCCGAGATCAAGCCCACAGTGGGCTCTGCGCTGAGCATGGAGCCTGCTTGAGATGCTCTTCCTCTCCCTCTGTCCCTCCCCCTGCTTGAGCTCTCCCTCAAAAAATAAAAAAATAAAAAAATTCAAAAAAATAAAAAATCATTGAATACAAGAACAGCAAAAAAAGAGGCATTGTTCCCTCTAGCTAAATCCTGTCTCTTTTTTTTAAAGATTTTATTTATTTATTTGACAGAGAGAGACATAGCGAGAGAGGGAACACAAGCAAGGGGAGTGGGAGAGGGAGAAGCAGGCTCCCCGCAGAGCAGGGAGCCTGACGTGGGACTCGATCCCAGGATCCTGGGATCATGACCTGAGCTGAAGGCAGTCGCTTAACCAACTGAGCCACCCAGGCGTCCCTAAATCCTGTCTCTTGCTGAAGGCTCTGAACTGACCCTGCTTTTCTCCCTTAACAAGGAAGGTATTAATGACATAGAAGCTGGGGCGCCTGCATTAGGCGCCCCTTGGTTTCAGCTCGGGTGGTGATCTCAGGGTCCTGATCTCAGGGTTGTGAGATCAAGGCCTGCATCAGGCTCCAGGCTCACCATGGAGTCTGCTTGGGACTCTTTCTCCCTCTCCCTCTGCCCCTCCTCCCCACCTTAAATAAATAAATACATCTTAAAAAAAAAAAAAAGACATAGAAGCTGTTAAATGAGACTTTCTCCCTAGTAACTGGAGGAACAGGAAGAAAATCAAAAGGAAATACCCGTATCACGATCTGATTCCATGTTATTTAATAGTTTGGAGACCCTAAAACTACCTGGTATCCTACCATTGGTGTACATTTTATATTTTGGAAAACACTGACTTAATCCAACTCTTCCTTCCTATTTTACAGGGAAGAACAGCAGGGCTCCCAAAGGGGAGATGACCTGCCCACCATCTCACAGGACCCATGGCTTTAGCCAGACCTGGAATCCAACCACATTTCTTTCCAAGGCATTGTTCGACTTCTGTGGGGGAGAAGTTATAAAGATGAAGGACACCAGTGGTGGATTCTCAGGCGTGTGGGAAGCACTGGCCAGGCCAGGTAGAAAGGAAGGAGGCAAGGAGCTGTTGTCATGGGTCCTTGGACCCCCATGCCTCTCCTCTCTCGGAGTACAGCCTGAGTTCCTCCCCGCAGTCCCCAGTGCTGAGGGCCAGCAGAACTACAGCAAATAGACATGCAGCCTGCTTGGCTCAGAAACCAGAGTAGTGCAGTGTCTAAGCCTGGAGAGAAGGAAATTCATGAAAGCCAAATTCTCTCTCTAGGAAAGTGAACATTTTTGCATTTTACTGGGGAGGGGAGTTGGTCACCATTTATTTTCTTACTTTTTAACAAATATTTATATAGCATTTATATTCCAGGCACTTCACAAATATTAAGTCATTGGATCCTCACGACAAACCAATGAAATAGGTACTATTATTATCTCCATTTTACAGATGAGGAAACTGAGGCACAGAGAGCTTAAGGAATTTACTTGAAATTTCATCACTTGGAAGTGGTAAGATTTGAACCCACGAAATGTGATCTGACTCGAGGATACCTTAATGCATTTAATCCTTAGGACTATAATGCAAGGAAGGATATAATTAATCCCATTTTATAGTTGCATAAAACTGAAGCTCAAGGTTATTTAGCATCTATACCATCAACCCAATAGGCCCTTCACTTCCTTGCCACACTCCCTGGATCATGTGCCAGGAAATCTTGGTCTAGGGCTGTGCTACTCAATTTGGTAACCATTTACTACATAAAGTTACGGAGCGTTTAAAATAGAGCTAGTATGACTAAGAAACTCAATTTTTTCATGTGATTGAACTTTTAATTTTAATGCAGATGAAACATTTTGTCCGTTAAACACAATTTAATTGTTTTGGTAGAATAACATTTCACTTTAAGCACTGACAATTTAGCTCCCACGCTGATTTCTTTCTGAACTAAGTACAGATTTTGAAAAATCAGTAAGGAAAAAAATTAGATGATCTCATTAATAATTTTTTATTATTTGTTGCGATGATAGTATGCTAGATATATTGGATTAAATAGAATATATTATTCAAATTAATTTCACCCAGGGACGCCTGGGTAGCTCAGCTGGTTGAGTGTCTGATTCTTGATTTCAGATCATGTCATGACCTCAGGGTTGTGAGATCGAGCCCCCTGTCGGGCTCCACGCTTATCGGGAAGTCAGCTTGAGATTCTCTTTCTCCCTCTCCCTCTGCCCCTCCCCCCCTCGTGTGCACGCATGCTGTCTCTCTCTCAAATAAATAAATACATCTGTTAAAAAAATAAATTTCTTTTTGTTCTTCTTTAATGCATGACTAGAAAATTTGAAACTACAAGTGTGACTTATATTTTATGTTCTGTTGGTCTAGAGAACTGGGATTTGACACCCTCAACTGTGACAAGGCTCACCCCCACACCTGGGGGGCCATGCGCTGGGTACAGTTCCAGAAGCCATATCCACCAGTCCAGGTGAAGGCGACTGGGGTGCAAAGGTTGCAAAATGCCCCTGAACAGTGTGGCCACCGGAGTTAGTTGCCCCAGCAAATCTCAAATCTGCTTCATACTACCAGCTGGGTGCTCTTGGGTAAGCCCCTTACTTTCACTCATCTGTAGAATAGAGGTCATAGTGACTATCTCATGGTTCCTTAAGTGCCTTGGGGCCTTTGCACTTACTTTTTCTGTGTCCCCTCAGATCTTTGCACTTCTCACCCATCTCTTCCTTAAGATCTTAGTTTAAACATCACCTTCCTGATGAACCCTCATGAAAATAGACACCCCTCACTCATATCTGATAGAGGACAAATCTATCCTATTCAAATCTATCCTATTTCTTTATTCAAGAAAATACATGACATCAATTTTAAATGATCTTGGTTATTGATTTTATTTTCTTGCTAATGGTCTGTCTTCCCACTGATTTATGAGATCTGTGAGGGCAGGGATGGGTCAGTCTTGTCACTGTTGAGCCCCCGGCATTTAGAACAGGGTCTGACACAGCATGGACAAAGTTGAGGATGTCTGAGCAAACCCAGCACAGTTTTGGCTTCAGAGAGAAGCTCAGAAAACAACCAAACCCACCTTTCTTTGTCCCTTACTGCTGTGGGATTTTCCACTTGAGGCTAGAGGTCCTGGTGTAGAAAATGAGTTCATTAGTCGCTCCCTGGCAGGGGAGTCTCCAGGGTTAAATGAGATCCCAGAACACCCTGATGAGCCCTGAAGGTCCTGAGACACAGGTGAGCTGCTCCCTGGGGTTCTGGAACCTGAGAAACAAAGGTAACTCCACCCACGATTCATCCAACCTCTGCCTGGAGGAGTTATTTTTTGACCCTGGTGCATTCAGACATCAAGACCTAAAAGGGATTTCCCAGAAAGGTGCTGGACCCCTAGGGCTGTACAGTGATGCTTCACCAAAGAGCAAGTGGCCCCAGGGCCTCCTAGGCTTGGGCTGCAAATCCTGTTATGGGTGCCTTCCCCTCTCTGAGCCTCCATTCTATTTATTGAGCACTTAGGATGTGCCACATAGTTCTAAGTATTTTGTCCCAGCAAACATCTTTTTTTTTTTTTTT